TCGTGGCCGAACTGTTGAGTGTTCAAACTTCTAGCCGTGAGGTCGCGGGTTCGGGACTCTTTGGAGTTTCGCGAGATGCGCACTGCTGCTGATTCCCAATAAGGATGAAACGGCTGTACAGGCCTTCTTGGTTTTTCAGCATAGATTAGTTCCACTTACAGGACGAAATCTCAACTGACAGCTTTGCTATTTTCTTTCGCATATCCTAACTTGAACTGTAGTGGCGGTACAACGGCTGCTTTCAATCATTTTCTGGATCCGATGACTGGTTTTCAACGGATTTTGGACGACTTTTCGTGGCTGGAAACGAAATACTGGGGATTTAAGCAGACAATCTTCTCATGCGTACCTTTGAACAGCTGTGTGGTACTCGTCCTGACGTTCGTTGAAATTACAACAGTACAATTCTTGAGATGATCCGGCAGAAATCCCCATGTCTGGACGGCTGGATGTAGAGTTACACTGTCCTGAGAGATTTGCAGCTCTTTGGCTTCCGTTCGTGTATGATTACCATCGGACAATTTTTAGACTTTCAGCGAAAAACTTCGGAATCTGTTTCGAGTCAGCTTAGGAGTCTTGTTAAGAAATCCCCGAAAAAAATGTCGGAACGTTTCCTCATGAAAAAGGTCTGCACTGAATAAACTGAGCGAAGCTATGGTTTCGCGACCAATATTTGGATTCCTCGAGGGCATGGCTTTTGAACTCGATCTGCTTTGAGTCGGATTCTTTCGCACAATTACTCTGGCTCCTATCAGCGGCAGACTTATGGAAGAAGTAGATTTGATCCACATTTACATGGCTTGCGATATGATTTACTTCGCGCTTTCCTTTCCTTTCTGCTTACTATCGTTACCCAGCAACAACTGTCTGAGTCAGCACACTCCTCACCTTCACACCTATGCCCTTTTTCGATCCAATGAAACAGTTCTAATCGCACTTGTCGGGACCGGGTAACACATGGAGTTGTGTAAATTCCCATACTGGAATGTCGTACTGTAAATTTCCCCCTTTTTCATGAAGATCGGGTACCCCTGCTGGTTACTGAAAGTCTTCATCGAAGAGAGAATGGGTCAAACTATAACCACATATTTTCTCGTAGTTCGAGAAAGATTTTCGAGAACATTCGTTCTACTTCTGCTGCTGCTGCCGCCGCCGCTACTGAAACAACTTATGTGAATGATCAAGGCCGACGTCACCAATTAATTTTGAGGTCAACAAATTTTAAGAGATCTAAACTGGTTCGTGCAAACATTAACCAATGATATTACCTAGATTGTGACAAGCCAAACGTTGTTTTTTGATTCGTCAATTGGGAACGTTGGTTTCGTTTTCGCCATGCCACGACTACTAATTAGTTACATCACAGCTGGTCAAGATGACCGTGCTGGAATAAGTTCAGTGTGTTGAAGAAAAACTCCCCAGACTCTGATTTTTTACCACTTAGTTGTCTGAAAAGCCATCAATGTACAAGTCCTTTTCACACCACGGCTGTCAGAAAACGTTAGAGGACGCAAATCTTGAGAAAAAAAACGAGGCAGTCATAATTTGTTGTAAAGACTACTGTACTTACACAAAGCAAATTTTCGGTTTCGTTTGTGTCTAACATTCTGTATTCAATGACATCTTGCACTTGCATTCGTAGTGTTATTACCATTACTATTCATGGTTGAAGGCTAATTTATCTTATGTCAGGTACCAGGTCACTCCAGCTAAAATTTTGCTCACCTATGGTTTCCTGCCTGGTGATAGTGCGGGATTAATCTGAGCCATAATATTTCTTTTGTTTTCAGGGTGTCTCTTCTACCATATCTCTTGCCCTCTCCGAGTACAACGTGTAAGTGAAATTTTGAGTTTCTTCCACTGGCTCCTACCGTTCATTGTTCTCGATGCTTCGATCAAGTGTCGGGGTATGTTCTGAGGAGGGCTGCTTTCAGTAGTTTGATTCACCAATTGTAAGACAGAAATTTCAGTAAAACATGTTGCCCGTCCCTTTATGTTTTATTGACCTTCTAGCGATAATGCGGCTGCGATTCTCTCCAGGTTCCTTTTGATCGTTCTCTTCCCATCTTTTTTTCATTTTCACTACTGTTCACTTAACAGTAGGTAGAGTGCAGGCGAGCTTACGAGGTGGATACTGGTAGCCTTTTCTCCATGAATAAGCGGTGCCTATTTTTCTGCTTTCAGCGTAAATTTAAACATATCGGCAGGGCTCTTTCCAACTGGGGATGGTGGAATATGAGTAACCTAGATGAAAGTGTATTTCTATCTTGGAGTGAATAACGCGTGAGCATCTGGTACCTTCTTGCGATCGGTGCAATGTACCTACTTTCATATTCCTCGCTGATAGCCGCCGCGGCATACTTCCATGTTAAAAGTATCGCCAACCGTTGAAGAGAATTGACACGTACTCTCTAACTAGATAGATGGTACTTACAGTTTTTATCAAAGCCGTTCGTAACTCGAGCCATAACATTGGCTGAAAACCACACGTCTGTCCTCAGTCTCATTAAGGCTTCTCTCAAACAAAATTATGTGTAGTGGTAGTTATGTCGGCGTTCGGGAAGCATGCCTTACACCATGGCTATCATCATCACCATCGGCAGCATAACGTCAGTGTTCAACACCGATGCTTCGCTGCCGGAAAACCATGATTTATTTGAAAGCCCTATTGTGATCAAAAGAATAACAGTGGATGGAGAAGGGACTTAGTGCTAGCTTATTATAATCATACCCAGCTACGTACACATCCAGACATCCACTCAGGAAATCTGGATAGAAACTGGAAGCAAGAACGCCACTGACATCGGGTGGCAGCCATATCTTGCAACGTCTCCAATCGGGCGCAGTTGGGATCTCGCGGTCCCCATCCTGCCAGCACCCAAACGTTTAGTAATCTCCTTTATACGCATCTGCCAAGTCAAGAGTTGACCACCTCTTTGCTTTCGCCACTCTGAGTTGGGTATGGAAACGCGCTCTCTTCGACCAACGATTGCTCGGCATACGCCACGCATGTCCAAAACAACGCAGCTTTTGGTGCTGGACACATTCTTCAATGGAAGTACCGGTTGCACACCGGAAAACTCGCTTTCTAAACGACTTGTTACGGATTCACTGACACCAACCCACACGAGCTATGGTTCTGAGATGACGACTGTCAAACACCTGAAGACGTCTCAGTTCCACTGCTCGAATAAGCCAAGTCTCAGCCATACAACAAAACAGCCCGTACTGTACGTACACACGTCCCTTGAGATTCAGGGATAAATCACTCTGATGCCATAGGTGTCTCAAATTAGCAAACGTGACCCGAGCCTTGCAGATTCGTGCATTCACCTCATCTGTCACACTACGACCAGAACTAATACAACTTCCAAGATACGTAGAACGCTCCACAACTTCGAGTGTTTCTCCCTTAACTTTGAGTGGCGCGTTTGATGACTGCATGTCCAGGAGTATAACCTTATACTTTGTGGGTGTATGATGCATACTAAAGGACGGGACGACTTTGATCAGTTCATCTAAAGACCGTGTTTTCTAGAAATACACTAATTCGCAAATCGATTTGGTTTTCACGATAGACTCAACTGAATCTCTCGTTCATGACATTCTACAACTGAATATGCTGCACACAGGCCGCCTCATGATTCAGTTGGCACGATATTCGAGACATCGCAGAATATCATAAACGAGAAATTCAGTTGAGTCTCGTGAAAGCCAAATTGATTTGCAACTGAGTTAACTTCTCGAAAACAGTCCAATTTGGGTTCAAGTAGAACATAAAGTTGACGGAAACTCGTGGACTGCGCCTATCTGATGAGCCCCAAGAAGGGCTGTCGAAGAGTTTTCAGCAACCTTGTGAGTAGTTTCCTTCATGAAAACCGTGTCTTCTCTTCTTATTCTTAAAATATGAGAACGATATCGTCTGCATACTCCAGGTCGACAAGCTTTTCATCACAGGCTATTTGAACGCCGGTGTTTCTGAGGCCTTCCAGCGTTCGTCTCATCGTCTAATAGATCACGAAGTTGAACTTGAAGACAGTAGGCATCCCTGACGAACACCGCTCCTTTTACGGTAGCTTTTGAAGAGCTCGCTGTAGACCCTCACGCGTCCGGAAGTCTGGGAATACAAAGAGGTTGTTATGTTCGCCAACTTCCGGGGCATTTCTTGGTGGGCAAGCGTGTCAAGAAAAACACCGAGTCGAATGCGCCTTGGGATCCAGGAATACTTTAATTGTGGGTCGCCTATACTTTTGGTATTGTTCTAGAATCTAATGGTGCGAAGATTTGATCAGCGCAACATCTACCAGGTTAAAACCCCGCTTGTTGCTCTCGTGTCAGTGTTTCTTGAGCCATCTTAAGACAATGAAGCACGAGTGACGCCAACAGTCTCGTTATGACCGGGGTCAAGCTGATCCGCGTGTGGTTATCACTACGAACCCCTTTTGTTGAAAACGGCCACTATCACCGAGTCTTTCCAGTTGTCTGGGACAGACTCCTTTTCCCAAGTGCAAGGATACAGATCAGACAAGCGATGGCTCAGGATTTCATCCCTATCTTTGCACAATGCGGGTGGGAGGTCATCCGGAACGGAAACCTGGTGACACCTGAGAGAACATATGCATATTAGGTTGTCCAAAATGTCGGTGTTTGTTTATTTGGTCGCAAGCAGATACGTGCTGAGTCGTGTCACATCTCACGGCATTCCGTCTGCAAAATTTAAAGCAATCTTTATACCGGCAATTTTGAGAACTTCAAATATCCTTTGACGAAAACCTTATCGATCTGGAATATGTAGACGACATCGTTCTCATCCTCGAAGAGGAGGAGAAGGCGCAAGTGTTTCTAGATGAACTGACCGAATTTATCACGTCCTCTGGTCCACAAAGTGTTAGGTCATGCTCCTGAACATGCGGTCACTGAACACGACACTAACAATCCAGGGAGACGTACTGGTAGTTGTGGAGAGTTTTGAGTATCTTGGAAATTGTATTAGTTCCAACTGTAGTGTGACAAATGGGGAAAATGCACGAATCTGCAAGGCTCGGGTCGCGTTTGCTAATTTGAGATCCGACCCCCGCCACTCGACTTCCCTTGTCTAGGCCTGGGCAACCTGGCAGTATCCCAGCCCTCGTGCTTCCTTCGGGTGGCATGGCAGCTAGGCACCGGAAGGGTGCTACAGCTGAACGCATGGCGTCAGACTGCTGTATTCCTGAATCTCATTATTCGGTTAGATGCAATCGACGACTATAGAGAACCCATCGCCTAATTGAAAATGCCGGTGGACCAGCAAAATGTCAGGAGAGAATGTCAAGAAGGGTCACACGAAGTTAACCTTAATCTCTTTCCCAGGAATTAGCGACGTCTGTGGCGGTGACACGATATCAGTTGGACTGTCGAGAACGTAGCATACAGTACCACGGTGCGCTGCACACCACCTCACAGATAGGTGGTGTGATTTCCCCCCATACAAGACTATCGATGTCCTCGAGTGATTGCTCAGGTCTGGCTGGAAATTCGGATGAGGAATGCCACACTACATCTTGGTCAACATTGTATGGGACAAAAGACCGTAACGTTGCTGGTAATGAAGTATGAAGTCCTATGAATCAATAGATTGAGTTTAATCTTCGAGACAAGCGGGCATAGTTTTCGGTCTGATTGATCGGATGCATCTAGCCCTTTATTGTTGTCAGTCTATCTCTCTGGTGCTCCCTTATAATTTTTGTCTGATAGCAAGCGTCCGAATCGCTGATTCAGCTAGATGGAGCGTATTTTCCATTTTCAGTCGTTTTCGACAACAACATGACCCTTCAGTGGGATTTTTATCCTCGGTGTCGTCCTTCGTAAGTTCGACCTTTTCTATTCTCCTTATCACAGTAGCGCGCTTTTCTGATTTTACTTCTGTTCGTGGGCCACACGTTTTTGGCTTGTTGTTTTGACAACAAAAAAGCAACGCGATGTACCAGTAACCCAATCACTGTAAACCCTGCCACTAATCCTTGAATGGGGTTACATCTCCTCTAACTTACATGCGTTCTTTCAATAGATTCTGAAATGATCAGGTGGCTGTGTACATGTTCTCCGAGCTTGATCATTATCCTTCGGACATTTCTCATTCATCCGCGGGGTATCATCAGTTCGCAGTTGAGGGGGGGGGGTTGTGATGTACCTTCGGTGTGATGTCAATATTTCCATATTTAGTCGACTCCTAAGTTCTCGGGTCATTATTTTAGGGTAGTCTGTTGGAGCTATTCGGTCACCAGTTGAACTGTTCACCTCTTGTTCATGCAAAGAATTGTTCGAGACCCTCCATACTGTCTATGAGCATTCGAATCCTCGCCGCAATTTGACTGGCTCTTTAAGGTAAACTTATCTTAAATACTGAATCGATGTCACTTGGACTTTCAGATGGTCAGCACCATACTGTTGCAATGCTCAAATGGTCATCCTCGATGACTTCGATTATATTAATTTCCCTCCACTCGAATACGAGTTATGTGGCTGATTTCTGCGTTTCAGTCTTACTGCTGAGCGTTTTAGTTGTTAAAAATCCATTTGTCAGAACGAATGCATCAGAGGCTACCGTTCTTTTAAATGAATTTGGGCAGTTTCATAGTTGAACCTGGCTCGTGTCGAAATGGTGGCAACACACGTATTTATATGAATAAACTGATTGTATTCAATATCACAAGTTACTGATCTACTTTTTCTTTTGTTCTCTGTATGACCATTTTTCTTCAGTTTGGAACAATGTTTGCCGGAAATATGGCGTCCAATGTCAGCCTGCGGTGAGTACACATTTGATCAGCTCACTGTTCCCATTATATCTGTGCGTTGGACTACCACTGGGGAAGTATCACCTTTTAAACCTATAAGAGCCCAGTGGGATCTGCTGTTTTGACTCAGTCTTTATCTATCTTTATCTTTATCTATATTGCCGTCGTATTCAGTATCGTATGGTGTTGGTTTGTAAGTTATGTTTGACTGAGTTTCATATCGTATTTCACGATCTGCGACTAGCCCTCTTTAACACTATAGATGTTCCAGTGTTTTAAGTGCACAAGGGCGTTAGAGCTGGTTTTCTGTTACCACCGTTGTCCAGACTGAATTCATTGTTGGGCAATACTAGCTAGCCAGGCTCGTATATTGTGTGCACCGAATAAGGGTTGTGGATCACCGTCTGCTATGGGGCTCGACTGTTTAGCTCTCCTCACGTGACTCAACGAATTTGCGGCACGATTTTGGCATACTGGTAGCATTAGAATTGCTCTGTCTGCTCACCCTCCTATCTTATTCCACAAAATTAATGTGGGATGAAAACCGTTCAGCCCAGTATGCACCTCCGCATGTGACGTTACCTAGCCTGTTCGGGAGTCAGTCGGCGTGTGTGACAGATAGTTCTGAAAGTGGATCCCAGGCCACTATTCTCGGGGGGTCATATGAATCAGAAGTCCGCCCGTTTAACCACCGAACACTCAAGACCAATCTAGGCAGGGCCTTAAACAACCAACTGCTCTCTCTTCATTTTTACGACTTACGACAATTTCTTCATTTGAAGCAGTTTATTGGGAAAAAAACTCCAGATGTTTTGGGAAGCCAACGAGTGAGCTCGTGACCGAAAGACGAGTGCTTCAAATTCACCATACTTGAATGACCTGACTATGCAACTTTATTGCATAGACAGAAAGATACGATTAACCAGTTTTTCCGTGCCTAGTCCGTTTTTCACCGTTTGTTCCGTTTTCCGCACTTTAAGAATTCGCTTCCCTTTCTACTTTCTCAGACCCTGTGATTCCTTGTTGATGTGCATGTATGCAATAACGAAGAACGGTGCCCACTTCTCGACTATCCTGTCCTATTCGAATGCCAATTACTGTTCACCAAACGGTTTTGATAGCTTGTCCGTCGCGGGTTCTCTCACAGGTGAGTGTGTTGATGTTTCCAGTCTCCTGTTGTCTGAATTTCCTCGCCGACTCATTACAGACTTATGCTGTCACGGTGCGGCCATTCTATAACAGCTTATAGGACTCAGGCAGTTTCGCTCGAATTAGACAGGTGCTCGGAAGGAACAAGTGATAGAATAGCTCAGCGTCGTGATTCCAATGCAAATTCACGTGATCGACTGGCGAAGGATTACAGAGAAATCAATGGAGCACTGTGATATCTAGGAGAACAATGCGACAACTGACGAGATGGTTCGGTGGTTAGAGCGCGGAAGGTCCGTGGCTTGAACCCGACCCCTGTATGTCGACTTTTCCTATCTAGGCTTGGGCAACCTGACAGTATCCCAGCTCTCGTGCTTTCTTCGAGTGGCATGTCACTTAGGCACTTAATGGGTGTTACAGCTGAACGATTATCCAACTGTTGTCCAAGTGCCCTGTGCCGAAAAAGACTTACAGAAAAGAAAAGCACAACAGCTTTATTGTGAACAAGCGAGTGAGTGCGGCCTCGTGCTGTATTTTGGAAAGCACTGTCTTACCTTGCTCCAAGACTGGTCGGTGTTTAATGGAGTTTTAGAGTCTCAGTGGGTTTCGGATATCCTAGGATACTCGTCAGGCATCTAACCTTACTGACACCTCTTCCTTTTGGCCATGCATTTTCGGTGCCCGGGGCGATAATCCCTCACAGGCATACAGTTTCCAGACCGGAATGATGACTTCCCTTCTGTTGGTGTTGGTGAGCGTAAGTTTTCGATCGGCAATGTTGAAAGATACAAACGATTGATCCAGTCTATACCCAGGAGATTAGGCTCATAAGCAGCAAGATAGACAATACCATTATCACGGTGTCCTACTATCTCCATCTCATAATCGAATTCACCAAGCAATTCAAGATTGCCTCCTGAAGCATTTCTGGCGGTGTTCCTTGGTTGTGTCGTGTTTGAGATTCAGGGAGCGGTGGCACTCGTGAATAATGGATTGTAGCGTTACCTTGAGAGACTGTGCAATCTTGTCCAATAGCCTTGCTCTGATATCACTCTAAATGCTACTGAAGGTTACATATGAAAATAATATACTTGAACTGGTCCCGTGTTATGCTAGATAACTTGAATTGTTCATATTCAAGACTGGTTCTGCCGACATAAGTGATATAGTCATCGGATTTCCTTTTCGCTAATTTCATACATTGATAGCTAATATTCAGCAAAGGTGAACGCTCACGAAAATCTTTTAGAGTTGTTGCATGGTTTTGTCAAATCTGAAATCTCGCGTGTCCTTTGACAGGTTGAAGTTGGAATATCATGTATGTTCCGTTGNGTGATATAGTCATCGGATTTACTTTTCGCTAATTTCATACATTCCTAGCTAATATTAAGCAAAGGTGAACGCTCACGAAAATTTTTTAGAGTTGTTGCATGGTTTTGTCAAATCTGAAATCTCGCGTGTCCTTTGACAGGTTGAAGTTGGAATATCATGTATGTTCCGTTGTATCAAGGTTTCTGAGCAATATACGCACTCTTCAGGCATCATCTTTGAGCTTTGAAAATATCGAAGCTTAGACAAGAATCAGCGTCATAATGGAACTCCGTGATCCTGTTGGCGGTCGAGTCGACTGAACTTGTATCTGGAGCGGCATTCGGTAGTTGAATTTTGAGTTGCTGCATCAAGGTTTCCACCAAACGCAATTACTCCGCTTGAAACTACTTTTGTTGTTGCAGCAGAAGTTCCTTCAACGCTTCAGCAGTTATTCTCATGGTTCCATGGGTTCGGGCGTCGCCAATCTGTTATATCTGACTGCTGTTCCCGCTCCAGTGCCTAAAAAAGACTCGCCGACAAGGAACACAATATCCTCACTGCGAACAACCGAGTGAATGCGAAAAGCACAACGGCCTCGCGCCGTACATTGAGGGGAACTGCCTGACCTTGACTAAGGTTGTCTGGTCGGCGTTGTTGTTTCGGGATCTGACCTTCCTGACGGTCTTCTAACCATACTTCTGAGAGGAGTTGCAAGCGAGAATGGGTATTGGCTGGGTCAATAATCCCTTTAGCTGTACTGACTAACAATGCAGTTATTGAACTCAGCCGGCCGTGCCGCATCCACTTCACTTGATTTTGTTAGTGGGTCAAAGGGAAACGTCTTTGTGTGAAAGGCTTGTTTGAAATAGTCTTAACCACTCCTGCTCGATTTACCTGTTCCAATCAATCTTGACCGAATTCATGGTCCAGTTATCACCATCAGGGATTCGACCGCTTAATTTAACATGCTGAGCGACCATGTTTATCCTTCTGCTTCTCAAGTGAAGGTTGTAACCCTTTCCGTGCCTAACTGCAATGCTACCCGAAGGAAGCCCGAGGGCCGGGATACTCCAGGTTTCCTAAACCCAGACAGGGGAAGTCGAGATGTAGAGGTCAGGTTCGAATCACGAACTTTGCGTTCAGCTAATTCGCGCTCTAACCAGTTGGGCCATCTCTCCCCCGATAGCAGTTTATCGGGCTATTAACCGTCACCTTAAGTAGCCTCAGTAGCCTTGGATCATTTCTACTTTGTATCGTGCGTCTAGCTCAGGAGCAGTGCATAATTTCAAACCCGATTATTGGCTCAGCATGTACAACTCTGTCGTCGGCAAACTGCGTTACTTATGAACGGTCAAATTGGCAGTTCTGCGAATGGAAGCTCCCTAAAATATACAGTATGCCAAGCGCCCATAAGACCATCCTTTTTACGTTAGTTTCTACGCTCCTGTTCCATTTGGAACATTCCCATTCTCGGAATACAACGCTCGAGACACCTGTTCACCGAAAACACGATCCATCTTTCACTTGCAAACTTGTGAAACGCCAAAAGAACCAGTTCAGTGATCCAGCCTGTAAATTCTCTTGATCCTGTGAATAGTGCTCGCGGGTACAACCACTACTACTCTAGAGTCATAATTACAGCGTTTTTTGTCGTAATCAAGTCGCTGATGAGTTGTGCTCTTCATACGAGCAACGTATTGATACGCTGGAGTTGGGTTGTGGATACTATCCGAACCACCGTTATTATTGGTGAATAGAGGAATCGTGTATGCACGGGGATTCTGTAAGAAACAGGGACTGGAATTTGCTTCCTGTAGAAATTTCCTGACAAAAGAAATCCAGGGTTTCACTTCAGATTCTGTGCATCAGTGCGAAGCGCAAGTTGATGAGAGCCGTAAGTAACGGGGAAACATGTGCGTCCGGTATAATGTGCATTTGAGGGTCAGGCTTGTCAGGCTGTGACAGGATGCATGAACTAAAGTGTGCGAAATGTTAAATTCTACGGAGTCACGAATAGAGGGAGGTAATGTTGATTGATAATAACAAGTGTCATGTGGAAGTCTCACGTGAATCGGTTTGTTGCTTACGGTCCTCGAAGGTACAATGGAACGTTGTTTTTGTTTGGGATTTCGTTTATTTGGTGGTTATACATGATATAATTAGACATTCACGATTTATTCCTACATCATTGCAAACAGCAACTACTTCTGTCCGGTTTTGTGTGAAGAGTACATGGAAGCAAGGATATTTTAGCTGAGTAATGTTGCGATCCTTAGTCCCTTATCGAGGGGACATTGTTCCTCTTCCTGATGTATTTTGATCAGATTGTATATACAATAAAGCGGTTCTTTGTTACCCTGGATTGGCTGAACATAGAAATCGTAGGTTTGTCTTGGTAGCTGAAGGTAAATATTTTGAAGAATTTGCACAAAACTATCCAGAACACTGTCTTTTAATGATGGTAATGAAGGGGATTGCATGCCGTAAAATATTCGACTTTCTCATCTGATCTGAACTAGTTTCAATGGCGTTCCGAACCTTTTAGCGGATCTCTTCGTTTCGAATAGAAGCGGATTTAAGCACAAAAAAAACAAGTGACCTGAACAACGCTATGTGTACTTCAGTGAGTCCAAACATGATTGCTGTCCCCCCATTTGTGCTTTTATTTTGCTTTTCCTGTCTATTTGCATCAGATGATAAGCTTCGGTCACTTGTCCCAACTAATGGCAAGACCACTTGGGATCGGTCGCGCAAAATGGACGTAGGAAACGATTCTGACACCAACACAACTCAGTCGCTGGACGGGAGTACCGATGACCCTGTAAATCCCACTGCACATACTCCTTCTAACCAATTTCCTCAGTCGTCCAGCAACGCGAAAACTTCAGATCACATCGCCGCAAACGACCCTGTAGTTCTTCCAACTCCCCCTGGGCCGCTTGTGTCGGATATGGCTATGATCCCAGATCCGTCGTTGGATGAATCCACATTGAACACAACACTTGAACCGCGCAACTTACTCGCTGATTTACTGGAATACTGTTCCATCGTGATGCAAGATGTCAAAAGCAAGTTTGTTAAATGAACCCGTTGTCTGATGAACGATGCTCATTTTTGAATAGCAACCTAGTCAGTTCTCATGTAGGAGACACAAAAAGGCTATTGACTAGATGTTACCTAGAAAGAGGTATTGATTTCACTCACAGGATTACCCTTCTCCCATTAAAAATCCCCTAATACCCCCAAACTAGCAACAAAAATATATGCATTTAATTGCAGGTGGTTGTATGATTCGTAGAATTCACATTACTTTCGTTTGAACCATCGTCTTCCTCTTCTGGCATAATCATTCTGGTAAGGAGGAGGAGCCCTGTACTTGAGCTCCGCTCCTGTTAGAGCTCATGAACAGTACACATCTCTGGTCGTACCGGGTTTCGAACTTCAGACATCCGACAGGCGAGGCGGGCATTTTACCACTACTCTGCCAAGGTACGCTGGACGCATCCGAATTTTTACGTCTGAGGAAGTCAAAGCAAGACGCCGCCGAATCAATCACTGTAACTCTTTTCAGAATCCGAAACTAAGGTGCAGTCTTCCGGAATATTCAACATACGGACTTTGAACTGGTGCAGCCCTATTTCAGCCAGGGAACGTCCCAGATTGCACAGACAATCAATCATCTGGTATTCGATTGGTATACCACTTTCGCAATGGCAGAAGGTCTCTGTGCAGATGGTTGTTTAACAGAGACTGAAAGGGCTGAGTAAAGAACACAGTTCCGCACCACTGCTTTGATGAGGTTGACAAATTTTTCCGAATAGCCAAGTTTTCATGGTGCAATCCATAGTGCTTCTCTTTTGACCAGATTGAAGTCTGGTGAACTCCACGGAGCCCATGAAGCGGTTGGTTCTGCTTACGGCGTTTCTCTGGAATTTGTCTTGGGACGACATATTTCGGCTGCTTCGAAATCCACAACCCTCAGGAACATTTTCCTCCGAACTGCTTACGATTAGTCGATCTAGTAGGATGAGAGCCACTCTCTCACCTGCTGTTCATAGCAGGCTGATTCCACGGTAGCTGTCCGTCTCCTGTCGATTTCCTTCACTTTACACAGAGAAATCATCGTTGCATCCTCGGAATCATCCTCGGGAAATCTTTAGCCTATCAAATTTTTCTAAGGTGGAGAACTTCGTCTTTGCAGTATTGTCCCTCCATTTTGGAAAGTTTCACGGTCAAACCATACAATCCCGTTGTTCTCCCACTGTGTAGTTGGCTTATGTCCCTCAGCTGTTTCGCGACTGTAGACCATTCAGCCAAGTAGGCCTGCGTTATATGTTAGGTCAAGTGGTTGAGCATTGCTGAAAAGTGAAGTTCCCAGGTTGCCAGAATGTTCTCGGGCTTGTCAAGTTTTCCACCATTTTCCCACGCCAATATGACGGCGTCTGCTAGAATACTAATGGGCCGATAACTGAAAATGAATCAGTTTGTCATATGTTTGTGGCGGGGGATTTTTCACTGCTGTTGTCATTGTACTTTCTCCTTTTCAGCCCCAGAAGCTCTCAACAGCTGCCACCTGTGCTTGCTGATTGTGCTGTGTATCACTGAGGTGAGTTGTTTTATTCTTATTGGATGTTTTGATGCCAATAGCATGGATTCGTCATAACATTCTCTATTACAACTGTCCATTGTTTGGGGAGCAAACTCCTCGGAACAATACCCTTTGAGGGCGTCGGCTTTTGTGTACTAGGCAACATACCCATCGATTTCGAATCTTGGAGCAACTTGTGCATTTTTAGTGCTCATCAGCTGTTCACTGCGTCATGCAGGTTTATTGGCGGTTAGTAGCCAGATGGAATCAAATAAGCCGTAGTGAAGACGAAAAGCATCTTTTGACTGTATTTCTCAGGTATGACCACATCTCTTCTGATACTTGATATGATGTTCAAAAACCCGCACTGGTTAGCGATGGTCTGGTTCTGGTTCCGTTCCTTCATAATAACGGGCAGTTACAATAACCTTTTATTACTCCCAGGCTATTTCAAAGCTTCCTCTTCATCGTATGACCGGCCGGTGTAGCATCTTGTCTGCGGGAAGTTTTCATGACATTACCACAGAGCCTCGCGACCAAATAACAAGTATGAACGATGGAAGACGTTGACCTAATATGCAGTGCCGCTGTCCAACAGCGAACGGGGTGAAATTGGTCGCTTCAGGATAGGCGGTTCGTGTTAGTAATTCTGGTTCTTTTACTTTCATTTCGACTGTTTGAATACTTTGGGTGATCAGCTGACACATCTGAACTTCTCTACCGAACGGTGGTTTCAAGTGACCGGTAATGAAAGTGTCTGATTTGAGGACAGTGGTAAACGTACCGGAATTTAGCAGTTCTCCAAAACAATAAGGGCATTACTTGTCAGATTTCTGCGTTCCCGAGTGTTTATTTCTTTTCAATTTCATGCACAATTGTTATACAGTACTCCGCTGGGGGACTCCATTGAGACGAAACTTTTGTAGGCACGGCTTTTTTCCAGTTTCGGTTTCCCATAGGGGTAACAATCCTTTGAAAATCGAAGGGGAAGCACATTCCTAAATGACTCCAATAGGAGATCCTCACGATGGAAGTGCCCCACGTCATTGTCCTAGGTATATTGGTCGACTAACGCTCATAAGCACGGTTGGTTCACCAATCCGTTGCATTAGTGTATTTCGACTTGAATTAGCCGTTAATTCAGACGTAGGTACCATTTCTCGATTGGAGTCCCGATTGAGGGAAACGCAACTGAAGGCTAGTGCGGGGTAAAACACGGAGACCCATTTTATTCTGAAGTCCCAATAATGATCATTACTTTCCTGATTCTATGAGTGTGATCTCGTGATAGCTGGTTGTCTTCAGTGAGTACCGTCTGCGTCACCTAGGTGACGGGGCTTGACGAGGGTCACCATGCTGCGCTGGTATTCAATACTCAAGGTGGGACAAGAGCATCGAACATCTGAAGCATTCACTTCGGTTAAATTGAAGTACTTTATCCTACCGTCACAGAAGCTGTTGCGATGCACTGGCGCCTGTGGAACATCACCTCTGTGTTAGTAGATTGGATGTGCCTGGTGCTCTCTTCTGACAGTCGGTTGGGCGATACTTCTAAAAATATGCCCGGATTGGATACTTTGATTGCTATGGCAGTTTGTGGTATGCGTTTTCAACTGAGTTGACAACTTTCTGCCGAAAGTGTAATTACGGGGATCATCTTAACATGATAAACCCTGGAACGGCCAGTTAACCTAAACAGTCAAGATGTTTTACTTAGCGCTGACAATCTGTCGACTGTTCAGCAATGGAACTGCTTTATTGCGCAGCTACGAAAGGAAGTACGAGGTCTGAGGCACCTTCAGGCTACTCAGGCTATAGAATAGTCAATGTCGCGTTCAAACAATGGAAATCATGGTCAGTAGCTTGTACTTAGACGTGGGGCTACAATCTACCTGTATCATCAACATTCGTTTTGTTTTTTCATGGCAGTCAGCCGACCGTCTGGTACGTCGTATGTTTTTGTAATCTGTTCGACTGTCGCTGCGCAGCTGCCGTTGATGCGTCGAATGCCGACAAACCGCGATTCATCAGCCACCTACTTACAGCTCAGCGCTGGTTGCACTGCGATGTTTGTTTACAGAACGTGACACCAATGAGGACGGAGTATGTGTTGTTTCATGAAATTAACGATCTAGACAAACCTTGCAACCACCTTCCCCAAAGCACAGTAGTGATGCCGGGATGTTTAATTTTATCGAACTACCTGCTCTTCTTCACGTTAAAAAAAATCGATTTTGAGCATTATGCGCCAGCCCCAAAGTTTCCAACTTTCATTGCAGCGTCATTATCGATAAGCGTGACATGCACTCAAAGTAATGTGTAAATTTGCGCAAAACACCGTAACGCAGGATGAACATTCATTGTTTTCATAATGAAGAAACATCGGCGGGACACAGAAAGTGGAAAGTTTACAAATTAGGCTGAAAATACGCCAGACGCAACCGAGCTCTTCAGAGTCGGCGGAAATCCGATCAATAATATTGACACGTGTTAGTTATGGTCTATGACTGAACTGACCGACTTTCTGGACTCTTTTATCGCCATTAGTATGCATTCAAATGGCGAAAAAATCATAACCTAATGCTACCAAACCAATTCCTTACTTCAGTTTACTTTGCTCTACGTCTCGCACGGCGACGACTTAGGCTTATCGCTCAACTCACGAAAAAATATTTCAGAGGGCAGTTCTGGTCGTGAAGTGCCTAAACAACATTATCGGACTGCCTGATTGGAAACGCTGGTTCACCTTGTTTTCACACAGAAGGTCTGACGCCCCTAACCTCTGGATGTCCTCACATCACACTGGCGGGGTCTCACAGTTGAAGTTCCGGGCATACGGCAGATTAATAAACCTGGATGTTTGGTGTTTGGCTTCGGTCATCCCCACACCACAAAGAATTCTTGATCTCGAGCTATGTTGTCTGGGAAGTATCAATGCGGATCTCCTCTTACCCTTCGGATAACGCGGGAGTCGAATAATGAGACTGGTTCGATGGTTGCATCATGTGGAGAGACTGGTATTTCAGGCTGTGACAGGTTGTCGCAGCGTGGTTTTGTATTCGTGGTATCAGTGCGGTATTTTGCCTAGCGCTTTTACTAGAAAAAACAATGTTGGTGATCTTGTCCTAAAGTGACCACTTCTACAGGGTACCTAAACTTTCCGTTTGGTGGGGAGGGGCGGATTGGTGTGAGGATTTTGAATTCCGGCAGATGATTCTAGTATGACGTAGCACAATTCCCTCTTTTTGGTTGCATACTTTGTTGTTGTGTTGCTTGGTTTTAACAACAGCCGTCTGGAGTTTGGCGGTGAATCGCAACTGGCCTGGTGAACGTCACCAGAAACTACACCAGAGACTGCTAGATACCTCATGCTACTAGAGACCATGTGCTGTACATAATTCGATTAAAACTAAAGTCCATAGCTGCCTGTTGTGCAGCTGTGCTGTCCAAGTTCCAGAACAGTCCGTTGTTTTTTTCATGAAGTTATTCCGCTCCGATGGGCCCTTCTTCTTAGCCACCAATAGGATCAGTGTTTTCAGCTTCTACAGGTCTCTGGCAGTTGATATATAATCTTATCCACACCTGTTAGTATGGTTCGCGATTCATTCTGTCCATGCTGTGTTTACATACTTTTAACATTAGTTCTCGCGCTCCACTTTAGGTAATTCCTTCCGCACTGCTGTGGCTTGATGCTAATCAAAGTGAAACTTGCATAGTTTAGCCGCAGTCGTTTAATGTAATTACGTTAAGATTTATCAATATTCCCCACTGTCTTAATCCAACTGTAGTTGCGTTTAGATAATGAAACAATGACGTTACGGCCATAATACGTGTTAAAGTGAAGTGCTACTCAGTTACTACGATTCAAGCTACCGAAAAGTAGACAAGACTACAAAGAAAGAGGTTGGTTCACCAGACCGCGCAACTTCATCTTTCCAGGCAACAAATAATCTGGTCAGACTGCGAGGAAAATTACCCATCCAGTTTTCTCCCTGGGAAAACGTTCGTTTATAATCGCCGGTGGTGTTGTGCATCAATGTTATGGAAATCAACATAGGATATTGGCTTTGTTTGCCCTGATTCTTTCACTGCTTTTCATCAATTTTGACTATGTCAGATTCTCATGAGATGCATGCATGCTAGAAATATGTGACAGTTCGTCGGTTTCGTTTCCTAACTTAATATGAGAGGATAGACGTTCCTGGTTATTCGACTTCCCTCATCTCACGTTTCCTTCTTCCCTTTAGAACCAAGTGGCTTGCTCGATCCTACATGATCCACACATCACTTTCAAGGTTTGGATCCACAAACATGTGAGTTTCTACTTGTGGGTGAACTGCGCATCGATTGCCAATGGGTTTCTCTTGTGGAATCCAGTTTTCCATACGGTAATTCCTTTTCGTTCACCTCCTGGGTTGTTTGGTCCCATTGCGGGTTGGTAGGGTTTCGAAAAGGTAACCGTCTTGATCGTGTCGTTGGATGTCTTGTGCTTAAAAATGGGACGGGGAGTTTTTAACTCCACCAGCAAAACTGCTGTAGAAAGATACTGTAACACCCAGTGGAAATGAATTGTGCGATAGTCGTGGTTGCAATGAACTTAGAGGGCGGTTGGCTCCATTGTGGTTGATATTGTTCAAATAATCTTTTATAGAGTTTGAATATGCAGATCCAGGAGTCATCGAAATTTAAAAATTGAGGTTTGCCGTACTTTTACCGAACGTCAACCGCAGCATCATCTTTGTGATGGTAGGCAGCGTAAAACGGTCCATAGACTTTCGCAGGTGGCATAGCGAGATTGAACACTCATTTACAAAGTAAGCTGTGTTAACGAAGGACCGGTTTTAATCGAGTTATTTAGGAGGATGAATGTGAATGTTTCAGGGACGCTTGTGAGCACTACACCAGGAAGGCTTGGGGCACAGTTCACAAAGCCGACAGCACGCAAATTTTGTGCGATTCTTCCCCCACCCTTGTGTACCGGAGTGACCTCATGGTCACTACTTCACATCACTTTTGCGTGACATTTCCTAGTAATACAGGTCTTCATATCACCTACTCGCAAAATGCGATATTGTAAGTGTATCCTTCAACCGAATGTGCTGTACGCAGAGCAATTCATGCTTCACTCAGAGCAGTAGTTAAGTTGTCAATGTGAATGACTTGGTGTGTCAATACTTGTAAGGCTGCCGAAGTAGCGATATATTGATGAGATTGATTAAGTTTGCAGTTTCTCTGGTGCCGGTTCCTCGGATGGGCATCCTTTCTAAATCTTCATCGATTTTTCGAACGTCGAATAAATCAACAAACCAGTCACATACAAACTAAGGTGTTTTTAACCTGAGGCTGAAATGAATGTTGGTGAGTTTTTCTGCACTTGCCTGATACTGATCTTTGTATGGATCGCATGACCCGTTTTTTAGTACTATTTACTAAGCTCCGGGGCAACAATATGTCCGTTTGCGGTAAGTGTATGGACTCCTTGAGAAAAAACCCAACATCCTCTTGTAGGCCATTTTCCTATCCCTAGTACTGCACACTTGTAGATTAATTCTTTTAATGTGTTTTTCTTCATCCCTCTCCTCAAGCATTCTCGCTATCGAAAATCAGGTTCCAATTCGTGCGGAAATTTCTCAAGTCGTCCCATCGCTGTTGCCATACTGAGTGAGCCCAGTCGTGTGTGACTTACCCCATTTTGGCAGCTGCAACTGATTCCATTTCTTGTCCCATTACTTTTGTCCTTCGTCTTGTTGTTTCTCTCTCACTTCACTTTTGGTAGACGTCGATGCTCGACTGTTTTTTAACGTTTGAGTGGCAGCATACTGTGTTAACTAGCGTGTTTCCAACCCATGCCGTTGAAATTTTTCAACAGTCAGGTGAAGACGTCGTAACGATCAAGCTCGACACAGAACGCATTCCTGCATATTAGTTTGTCAGTGGTTTGTTTCCCGAACGTCTCAGATGGTATCGAAGGTGAACTTTCCTAACAACAGCTTACCTATCATTTGTGGCCACAAGTGGCGATTGTGGAGTGGCAGACTGATACCGAATCCTAGGGCTAAATTTGAATACAGCAAATTTGAAACATTTCGAGTTTGCATAAGGTAGTTTAGCGTTCTCCGGAAAGTAACCTTGGTCGTCTTTGGGAATGCCGAGAAACCAAGTACACGTGATGCACACCTATGCGGTTGCGGATGAACGACAGTGTTCTAAATAGGTGAAGGTCGATGCTGCTACTGATGCGGAACTCCTGTCGCGCAAGCCCCGGATACTCGGCTCATTTTCGGCCCACATATCAAGCGCTGCCAGTGCTTGTTGATATTTCCTCAATACTGTCTGCTTTCCTTAGAATGTGCGAAAACTCGTCAATATTCGCCTCCTGGGTAGCATGTTACACCAAGGAAAAATTCGCCATCATCTCGTACAAGAGCCCAACTAAACTCCGAGGCAGCCTCTTTGCCATAATTCCGATTGAAAAATATGCTCAGTGAGAGATTTGTGTACTGCACTGACACCATATTCGTTTGCGAACGCTTCTCTTTCTCCACGTGGCAATTCGGTAACTGTCCTTGGGAACCTCTCAACCACTTGTTTTATGATTCTGTCATAACTATTTGGAGGAACGGCTTGAAGATGCGTCTAGTTTTTGTAATACCAACTTTGTAGAAGGAACTACACAACCGGAGTGTCAGGGACCTGACGGAAAGTGATGCAACTGTATCCCAGTTTATTACGTTTCTTACCTGTTCATACGACGAATTCGTCCACTGTGTTTCCATTGAGGGAAAACGACCCAGTAGACTGAGAAACTTAGTCTTCTTCCGAATGGGTATTTGCTTTCCTTGCCCACAGAAATTACTGAGAATGTTTTGGGGTAGAATCGTTGGATCTGAGACTGTTGTGATTCACCCGTTGATGTGTGTTTTTAAGCAAGTTATGTCGATTTACCGATATTCGCCAATTATCGCTTCACCCAGTTAGGCTAAGTACTAAGCTTCACACTATGACACCCCTATCTTCCTTATAGGTTTGGTTGTTGAATTCATGCGAGGGCACCTTATGAAGAAGTTGCCCTATCGCCTTTATAGGTAAGTCTCGCCGCAAATCGGTGCTTATTCTGTTTACATGCTCACGCTGAAGTCATTGGATGTTCCGCCGAGTCTAATGTTCACGATGTGTTTTACGTAATTTGTTTTATCTGCATGCACATTCGGCACGAGTCCATTGCGTTAGTTATTATGTTGACCGAGCACCAGGTTAAAGTAGTGAGTAAGCTTATTTTACGCTACAAATTCGGACTTCACAAACTGTCATTCAACCACTTTTTGGGACCCACTGAGGTGGCGATTTCGATACATTGCCGGGGGATGGGGTGTTGACGGACATAAACTACACTGTGTTGGACGAAGTCTGATGAAGGACAATGTGTGATGGTTAGCAGCACTCCAGTTAGGGACAATGTGTGATGGTTAGCAGCACTCCATATGATTCAGCAGAACCTCCAGAAATGTCTAAAAATATGCAGACTGTTATCTTATTCCAATAGCAAAGCTTTAACAAAGACTACTTCTCGATGGGGGTAAATGTGCGTCCTCTTTTGACATATCTGCAGTGAACGGACATGCTAAGCAATCTCCTTTTTAGGTACATTTCTCACTACTTGCTGGTTGTCGTATTCCCAACAAGTTGTTACATATTAAACCCAGCAAAATCCGCCCGATTGAAACCTGGTAGGGATTTCGGCTCACTCAAATCCGACGTTGATTTGTATTCTATGCCGGGCAGTTGACCGCATTATTTCGATGTCCACCGAACAATGTAAACTCAGTAATTACTTTCCGGGGCTATTTTGAAGAACATTCATAGAAAAATTGCCGGAAGGAATAGTTGTTTAACGCCTATGCGACATTCCATAAACAACCTCTCATCCGTATGTCCATCACTCGTTGTTCGACCACAGGCCGACTCTTCATCTTGTATCTTAAATGTGTTTTGCTTTCCAGCCCATATTTTGTTGACTCGTGGTGTGGTTATCACTTCGGAGAAATCGGTTCACATTATTATGCTAATTGAGTTATTCTCATGAGACCTGACTGCGTGGAAGACCAAGCTGGATTACTATCCATATTATTGTTGTTTATGCGGTAATTTCGGTTTTCGCAGTTTCAGATAGAGCCCCTGTCGTTATTAGCACCCATGGGTTAAGAAAGTGTTATGTTTAACAGCCTTGTGCTTCCGTTTCTTTCTGGTGTCGATTCATGCGATACTTCATCCTTCTATCCTGGGCAGTTTGGCGTGTTCAATCTGTCACAATCTGCTTTGCTACCAAACGAAGCACAGAATAAGACTGGACTTTGACTGGAAACAATTATGGGAGGGTAAGTTTACTGCTTATCAATGGTGAGGTTAGATTTTCATTCGCTCACATGAACTTACAGTAGGAATGTGGATTTGGGATCCTGTGCGAACGGACGTTTCCGAACTCGATGAAGTCCTCCAAACATTACGAGCTTTGTTTTGTTGCTGTTTTTACTTGACTGTTGGATCCGTAAACACTTAGTGATCTCCGTATGGTTTTTCTTTCCATGGGAACAGCTCCTACTGAGCGACATTTAGATCTATTGAGCAGTAGTGTCAACACCGCTCGAGACAGTTGGCCGGTAAGCGGTCTGTAAAGAATACCATCGCTTTATGACATTGTCAACACCGCTGGCATTGGTGCCTATCCTGTACTTCCATTTCTCCAGCCAAGGATATGAAAGGTCACTTGGGACCCAGTGAGGAGAGGCACTGCTCTTCTCGGTAGATGACAACTCGCCATGCATAAGACATAACAATACAATGATATCTTGCGATGTTTGGTGCATTCTTCAAGTAGAGTACCTGCTTCTCCACCAAGCACGGATTTCCGATAACCTTATGGTCAATTTGTTTGTCCCAGCTGATTTCAGCTATCTATCTGAGACAATTCACAAGCCGATCAGCCTCAGGTCATTTTCACTGTGGACTTAACTGGACGAAATGGGCTTGCAATATCCAGAACTCACCTTCACTATTCTCCAAAATTGCTTTCGAAGATTGGCTTAGAAGGTTGTTCAGCTACCTAATATCCTGGACCACCGAACGCGTGCTGTTGTCTAATCACCCCAGATGACATGTAATTTTAAGTACCGGTCTTTTTTGCGCGTCAAGGTATTTGTAACATGATGTCGATCAGCCTTTTGCATCCAGTTCACGCAACTAGGCAATACGTAGGGAAAGCGTACAGTGAATTTGGTTTGAATGATGGTCAGGACCTGTTTCGGCGTGTACCGTAGTTTGAGGTTGCACGCTGTCTGGCATGACAAGACTACAACTTGTCTTCAGTCAAATCGTTCCGTAAAGTATGGTGTCAAGTAATAGCTCCGGTCCATAGCCCGTGTATTAACCAGTGGCTGACGACCTGTGTGTTTATTCCGGGGCTTTAATGTACTTCAGTTGAAAAGCCGTGGCTTTTTCCTACGCCTTTCTTATCGTTTCCTCTTTGTGGGCGTCTCACTGGGTTTTGCAATAGCTTTGAACAGACAATACTGTCAGCCATTTTAGCTGTCCGGACACCCGAACCGGTCCAAACCGTTCTATTTTTCATTTTTCCGAACTGTTTTCGGATGACCATGGCCGTCTGTCTTTGACAGTTTCTTCCCATATCACAATAAAATTCGTGGTCAGGCCTTGTATCCATCGAGCCTTGTGATTCTGTCAGTGATCAACAACCGATAGCCCGTTTACTTTGCACTGTTCTTTTTGTTTCTTTAGCTCTACTCAGTCTACTTCAGTTTGTGCTCAATCTGGACAAAAACTCTGCACCGTCGAACGTAAGCCTAAGTTTGATGCAACAGGTGAGTGTATTGCACACTTGTTTGTTGATAAATACTCCTGCTGCATAGGGTTTCTTAAAATGTTGCTGGAAGGTAATATGGCCTGCATACGGATGCTACAAGTCTTCACTGGACTGATTGGATAAATCAGAGGAGGAAATTGGTTTGACTTCTGGGTACCGTGTGGGGGATTCACAGTCTGGTGTGACTAACCGTACTGTTTTTTAAGGGTATTTGGCCCCATCTTGTGCAGTGGAAGGTAATCCAAAGACGCATGTATTACGGTGGTGCTTGAAAGTGTAGATACTCCATTTTTACATAAAAATCGCTCGCACTGGACCAACCCTCATAGGCAAAACAGGTAATGGGTATCTTTTTGATGGGAAAGGGATATATCTTTCTTGAAGGATGCTTGCGTGCCACTTCGTAGTTACTGGCGAACCTTCGTTGTGGACTGTCCAGAGGAGTGGCCAATTTCCGAGGGATCCCTTTTGGGAATATCTAGCGGGCCCGTTTGTATAGTTCCAACAAGGTGATTACAGTTGAGGTTAGTAATTCTGAGTCACTCGTTTATTATATCCAACTGAATATGCTGCACGAAACCGCCTCATGTTTCACTTGGCATGGTATTTAAATATATCACAGTTTAATCTATGTAAGGAATGCTACTGTTTATGTTGCTGTCGAAATTTACAGTTACGTGTGAACGATAACCACTGATTCTTAAAAGCATAGTGCAGCTGAGGTTTCGCGTTTCATTGGGTACACAAAATGTACTCGAAATGACTCGGTCACAAGAGAAGTCCAGTCTGAAGCCACAACATGCGTATATTTATCGTACGTGTCAAGCAAAAGCCATGCGATTTACTACTTATTGTCACCCGGGCATGGACACTTAGGGAAGTTTATTGTTCTCTGCCTACGGCTATTTAGGGCTCATTGAACAGAGGGAGGAACACGTACGTTAGCTCATGAGGTACAACTGTTAACGCCCTTAAGAATTATGTTGACGTCACGTGTTTCTCGTTTGTGGCTAGAAGATGAAAGGTAATCAGGCGTAGGTGAATTGATGTTGGAATTGAATGGGAGAATGGGTTTCAACGGATTGTAACTTATGCACTTGACATCATTGCATGCGTGGAAAGGGCTCACGGATAACACGGGAATCGTTCGGTCTCTGTGATTACCTAAGGTCCTTGCCACACATTTTGGAATCCGACAGGCTCACTGGGCCTTGTAATTTGCGGTCGTACACGATCTTCTGGTGCTGCTTGGTGTGCACTGTCGACGGTGATCTGTATCGCCAAAAGTAGACGTTCACGCAGTTATCGCACGTAACCGTTGTTAGGAACGAAACTCGCTGAGATGGCACTCTTGGTGACACTCAAAGTTCATGGCTGCTTTATTGGAATATCTGTATATACCCCTTCAATGCGTGTAAGACGACATGCATAGGGGCATTTTTTCACCCACGATGCTCTTTTCCACAACAGTCCACTACGGTGATTGGTATTTTCATAGTTATTTTTGTGTGTTCAACCAAGCCACTTCTTCGTGAATAATAGGGGCACAAAATTTGTGTTTCGCAACAGGTCAGCCTCAGATGCTCGCGATTGGTTGGAGTGCAAGATCACCAGCACCCCGTGGTGCGACATCCTTGCAGAGATTGCTTCTGATGTAATCTTTCCGTCGTCTTGTCACTTTACCGGAACATCTTCGGATAATTTAGTCAGCTAGTTTACCATGATGGCGGTGGAGTAACTACCACTTCTGATCTCCGGTTAGAGTCTGTTAGTGTCAGCATCCACTTGATTATTTGGTTGATATATCGGGACTGTTCAGAGTGCTGCCCTTGGAATGATGATAGATGCTTGGTCTTCGTGCATAAGTACCGCCATTTCTTGATGACAGGGATCTCGAGCCCATCAACAATCTAGGGCGCTTTGATTTACTTTCAGACGGTAAATCCAATGCCCATTTCCCAATTCAGGCGACTGCACAGAATAACCGTTCCCCAATTCATCAACTGGTGTTCGTGGCAAAACACACGTAAAATCATGCTCGTGAACCCGCTATTTTAAACATGCTACCCAACCATCAAGATCACGGAAGCTCTGAACTCACTGAAATAGATGATGCTCAACAAGATCACGGAAGCTCTGAACTCACTGAATTAGATGCTCAGTTTGGATTGGAAAGTGTCGGCCAAGAAGGTAGGACCGGAACTAGTGGAAGTATGCGAACGAAGACATTTTCTTTCGGGTGACATAGTCCCTACACTGTTCTTGTCTAAAACGCGGCCACTACTACACACTACTACACAACTATCAACTACAGCTTATCGTCCAGTAACACATGGCGGTATGACAACAACGGCCACATCGCCAACATCCATGTTTATGATAAACTCCTTGGCACTGGGTAAAAGATGAGGAAACTGTAGAATGATACAATAATTCATGCTTAGAGTGGTCGGCAGCCTGGCCACATTCCGCACTTCACAAAAACTTGAGGTATTTATTGGCGAGCCTTTAAAGGAATGTAGTTTCAGCAACTCACCATTTAGTGACTCCCCAGTAGAATGGGGCTACCCTGGGAACCTTCGTCTATGGTGAAAACCGATCGGTTCCGGCCACCCAACGATGCGTCTGATCTTACCAAAGTCTGTTCGAACACTATTGGACGGGAGAATATAACCCAAAGGCAAAACGTTTGCATTTATCAACTCAAAGCGTAACGCCAACCTTTTTGGGACAACAAAGTACATCCCGTACACGAACATTGCGCCGCTCGTGGTCCGGCCCTGAACAATTACGTCATCGATTTCATCGAGGGAGATGAAGCACGATTTAGGGATCAGGCCCACGGGTGCTATCTGTGTAGGTAGTTGAGATCTGACAGTACAAAAGGCATCATTTCGAGCTCATAAGCTTGGCAAAGTCATGGAAACCGTTTTGCCGAAACGAGATTAATACTCTTGTTTTTTTCCCGGTCGACGTTTCTGCCGTACGACCTACTGTCTACGTGCAGCTTTCCCTTGGTTCGCTACCGAATATTCTATTCAATCTTTGACCCCTCTCATTCTAAGCCGCTCTCAACATATTTGGTAGTACCGATACAGTGAATCTTCTTTTGTGTGCGAAATTTCCTTATTCAGAGTTCTCGCTTAATGTCGTTTATTCTCTTATTATTATTATTATTATTATTATTATTATTATTATTATTATCCCTACCGTTTCTGTTTTTTTTTCAATGAGGATTAGTTTTCTTCCAATGAATCAGCTTTAAAGCATTAGCTGAAGTTCCAGCTTTCCTCTCCATTGCTGTTCTATTTGGTAGATCCTAGACGTCTTCAACTTCTGTATTCTCCACGGCGATAATTTTCTTCAAGCCGCAGATGTTTACGATGATTTGTACTACGAACTTATTCGTATGCGTGGACTATTCGACAATGTCTACGAACATGGTTAGTCTATTTTTTATTACTTACATTCTGCGATGCTGTTTACTGGTACGGTCATTTTACCGTTTCCAACATATGTAAGAATTCTTAAATCTGTGAACAAACACCGCGTGTGGTTCATTGTGATTTCTCGTTTGGCTATGATCGAACAATAAGGGTTGGCATCCGAGGTTTATTGCTTCGCGACTTTTCTCGTCGTATCCACCAATCGTCCAGCCGAAGTTCTTCGTGTCTACATCTGGCGACGCCCCCGGAACTCTTTGGCAGCATGCACATACGAATGGTTGTGACAGTCAATACAGGAGGATAATTTTCACTGACACGAAATGCTTTAGCTGCTGCGTTGAACCTAATTTACGACGACGGACGCCTGTAAGTAGATAATCCTGCTCTCGTATAGCAGCTATCCGCACATGAGGATCGGCACAAAGATCGACGGTGGTCCCATCCCATTCATGGAGGCCAAGACTTTCATCGTCTGATTTTATTGTACTGAGTTCAGTTATCGGTTAATTTCCACGGTGGCGACATCATTGACGTGGGTTGAAGGCTTCTCTTTGATCTCTCATAACATGACTAAGCCATCGCAGACAATATTTCTGGATACCTGCGGCTAATGGTTCAGTGTCAAATCAGTGCCATTAAGCTCTCTTGTAACTACTCTTGTTGTAACCAATATTGATCCTTGTTTTCAGAGTAGTCCTCAAGCGCCGCGATCGAAGATTTGCAGCTTCCGAATGTTGCAATGGCCGGGTCTCGCGGAACAAATGGCTCATTGAACCGCCCGGGTGTTTCGTTTTCCGGTCAGTCTCTGCTATTGGGGCATCACTCTAATTTCGAAGAACTATTCCGAGACTATCGATGATATTTCTCATCGATCGACATTGGTTAGATGATTGATATGAACGCCGGAGCTGAAGCATTAGAATATGGAGACAGACACACCTTGAAGTGTGGCCGCCGGTTCAGAGTGAACATTACGTCTGTTTTCGTGATGTTAGCTTCATGTCCGACGAAGATGACTTTGATGATCTATCCGATCGAGTACTGGTTTCTGAGCTTCTGGGCCCACCAAAATTGGGTTATCACTATACTCAATATACGAGGTACAAATGTCCGGAGAAACCTGCACACATTCGTAGCCCTCGAAAGGGTATGTCCCCAGAACCCGTTGGTAGCGGAGTCAAAGAAGATTAGGAATAAGGAAACTGCTGCTCTTTCGTATGTTAAGGTTGTGGATTTCTCATCAGGAACCCGCAGTTGGGCTTTGGTACCAGATTATTGGGACTGGATCAGTAGAAGCACCCATCAAGCCTCATGGCGTTCCATGATGTGGTGCGATCAATACAGTTGAAAATGGCAATCCATATAGCGTGAAATGGTTCTCCTTTGGAACTTGAAGCGGTTTCCTTATATACGGCGTGTTTCAAAATTCGGTCATGGGGGAAACGTTGGTTGGGTGGCGTACATTGGTAAACTTCTGTTGAAAATCGAGGCGCCGCAAATATCTGTCCGTTATTTCGATTGAACTGATGTTCCGATTGCTTTTATCTTCTGATCTTTCCTTTTTATGACAACAGGTAATAAGATTGAAGTGTTTTTGTTAGAATTCAGTCTTATAGACGGAAGTGAATTACTTATGGGGTAACTTGAAATGTGCCAGTTCAGATGTGGTGTATATTTCAATTAGGATATCATTTGAGCACGTGATGCTCCACAGAGTCTCTGCTCCTGTTGGTACGGTGCGATCGACTTCGTATGGCGTCTTCGGGTGTGCATATGCGAATTTCATGAAGTGGACGGTGGGGAAATCGGCTGATATGTATTTTTCAGCTGGATTTAGGTCTGGGGTGATGTGCTGTTCGGTACAGCTCAGTCCACATGAGGTTGTTTACGTTCTTACTGTTTTTATTTCGGAGCCAGGATACGAGCAGTTTGCCTGAGCTGATAACCGCTGAACTACCAGCCAAGCAATAGCTCACAAAACCTCATTTCTTCTTCCACTTAAGTGAAACGCCTTTGAAAAATGACGAATAGGACTTTCTCAGAAGATGCTACACACCTTGTTGAATATAATGGACAACTTTACTCATTTGGAAATGTTTGGGACCGATTGGGTTGTCATCATTTCAGGAAGTTTTGGTAAACAATGAATCCACCGATTGTTTACCAAACCTCTCTGAAACGGCAACGTTACTCGTTTATTTGGGCATCCACTTTCGGGTGTAATGCAGCGTTATATTATTACAGCCAAAAGTAGACTGGAGTCTGCCGAAATGTTGTTCTGTCTACCACTCACCTGCATAACCAGTCACAACGTACAAATATATTGCAGTCACGTTTTTAGTTAACATCGCAACAAGTGAGGCACAGCGGTGGTGTTATAATCTGGTTCCTTGTTTTTAGTTACTGCCTCATGTCACTGGGCAGTCTTTATGCGAAAAACTAATGGCATCTTTAGGCGTTGGAGTCGTTCGGTCCAGAAATTTCGTTTATTTTCACACTTAATATGCATCCAGTCAAGGAAGAGGTCCAGTTTTCGTTCTTTTCAGTGAATTAATGGGCCGAAACACAGCTAAACGCAGATGTTGTATCGGAACGTGAAACTTGTTGCTCACCACACTCCCTAACTCGATCGCTTTCTACTGCGCAAATGTGCCAAAACGCGTGATGCTTCTTATATGGGTATGGAGAATTCTGTTTTGAGGTTTTCCCACTCACGCTTACTTGATGCCATCGTCCAACTGAGCTCAGCTTTCCGAAAATGCGTTATTTCATTCTCCTCAGGGGAAGTAGTTGATATGGTATCTACCGACTATCAGTCACTCCGCAGTGTTCTCTGTTTACGATCCACTCATTTCCATTCCAATGGCTTACCACGCTAAGGGATCGGACCTACTGCCGGCAAGTGGTAACTGAATGAGATGAGATTGGTGGTAGTTCTTCTCATCAATAGGGTCGTTTCACTTTATCTCGGGGATGACTGCCCTTCGATTAGCTTCCTCGCCGTGTGGATACTTTCATAAATGAGCCTTCAGAGCACTCTGAAGGATCCAGGGTATCAAACGGGTGTGTCTCAACTTGAAAACGTCAGAATAATTGGTTGTCCAACTCCTCACGTTAATTCTTACCTGTGAACAATTACAAAAGTATATACCGGCTTTTGATTCAGGTGATTTGTTCTGTGCGAGTAGGTCCCTGCGTAACTGTCCAGTCTAAGACAAAGGTGTCAGCTTGAAGTGCGATTGGTGTTTATTCGGTAGTCCTTCCTCACAGTTAGTTGCCGAAATACAAAACTGCACGGTAGCGTTCGTAGCGAGGACTCAAGCTCACGAGTCGGAACATGTGATAGAAGGCGGCCTGTAGGTATACAACATTCAACATCTCCAGGGTCATGTTTGAAATTTCAATGACAAACCCATAGTGATTTATAAATAATCATAAATTTGAGGCGCCCTATGTTATGGACCGTTGCTGTTTGCTCCCTGCTTGGTATTGTTTTTCATCCACGTTACTTCGTCTTTTTTAGGTTTGCTTCACTCGAGTAGCTCAACTGGGGATTTGAAACAGGCAGCAAGCAATTTGGTTCTGCAGATGGGAAACATCCGGTAAGGTGGATCATGTTTTTCAGCAATCGTATTAGTATGTATGCGACTTTTGCCACACCACTTATAGCGGCTCATTTCTCTCATCTAAGTATGGTTCTCATTGATCTCAATCCTTGGAGGCCATATCCATACTCAACCCACTGCTTTTCGGTGCTTGTGTGGCAATCACCATACGAATTGTATTGGGTCATTTTTTTGTAGTGGTTTTGGTTGTTTGTCAGTGCAATTTGTCCGCAACAGAGATTTCCTTTTGCTGACGTAGTGGCGGTCATTTCTTTTGAGTGCGTTACTAGCAGACCATTAATTAATTTTTCGTTCCAATGAACCATTCCGGTAGCTACACTGCTGCAATTTACTACGTAATTAATTACAAGATGGAAACTGTTTTGCTGGTGAAGTTCAGCCTTTTGTTAGCGCTTCTGTGTTCTTTCATCCATTCGGCGAATTTTCATGCTGTTGATCAGTTCGGTTAGCATCCGTATGTCGTTTCGCTCTTTCCGAGATTATTGTTCTTTTGGTCAGTGTCTCGCGGTACAGCTGGATGCGTTTTATATTTTCTGCAAGGCTGATTATGTTTTTTTCTCAGTTGTTTCATTGACCCACTTACCAGTCTTCTTTGTTTGAACGCAGCCGTGATCAGTTTTGATCCTGTTTCGGCTACTTTTAGTTTGTTGTGTTTTACGTGCGGGTTTTCGACCAGTCTGTTTTGATCTATTCGACTTCGTTCTGTAACGGGTTGTAGGCTCGTTGAACTGAGTACGCTGCATTGTTTTTCTTAACTGGTTTATCGACTCTTGTTTTTCGCAATTTGAACCATTTACAACGTTTCTGGTTACTAATTCATTGTGGCTAATGCTCCTGACCCCCCCCGTTA